AAAAAAAAAAATGAATCAACTGACCAAGTGGAAAAAAATAGAAGTTTTCGTTGACTGCAATCTTCTACCCTATACGATAAATTATTGGCACTGTGTCACGAAAACGAAAAAAAAAGTTGAAGAACTACAACTATGTAAGAAAAAGAACGAAACCTGCGAACAATCTGCATAAGTTCTGCTACAGTTATATGATCTGGCACTAAAAATTTACAACGATCAAGCATCGGCAAATATTTATCCCCTTCAAATCGTTCAATAATAACAGGAATCTTATTGGGGAACTTCGCTCTGATTTCAGTTGCATCCTTCACTCGACCTGCTGAAAAAAAGAATAGAAAATGTAGATTTAACTACCCAAACACCTGTTTATGAATTAGTGACCGCTACTCTACTTGCGACCCTATGTTGATGATAAAACCTCCCAGATGACAGATAATACATCTAAACTGCGGTAAGCGCAAAACTTTTTAACTGTGAAAAATTACGACAATCGGAACTACTTAAAGCAGATCATCCAACCCTTATCGGTAGTTTCATTTAATGAGGCTTATGCAGAGTCCTATCCCGATCAAGCTAGAATTAGAGTAAATATGCAAGGCAGAAGATTGCTTGAAGCGAACAAGGAAATTACGATGCAAAAACCTAAAACTCATTTACACACTCCCTAAGAAGAAATGAACATCAGAATAGTAGAAAATAAGACGCGACCAACTTACAACGCTTAACGATCAAACCTTTTGAAGAGGGAAAACAACTAGTCCTCTGTTTCACTGACCCAATACAGTGTTAAATTACCCAACACTTCGCTTATTCCTCTCGCACTCATAAATTTGTAACTGTTAACATGATAAAACAATTCTTTGGAGTAACATTTAGCAAATGGGTAACCAAAAGAATGAAACCTTAGCTACTGAACTATGATAATAGAAAATACATACCAAATGATCTGCGTTCTTTGAATGATGGAATATATCCGTAGGAAGCCATTTTAAACAATGAGCCACATCAAAATATTTCTGAAGTGATAATTAAAAAGCATATAATCAGCAAACGACGACCAAACTCCTGATGCGCTACAGTTTAACCTGCGTATATCACATGTAATTCAATAGGTTAAAAAAATTTAAGAAATCACTGAGGAATATCGAAACAAAATCCTGAAATTGATGACTAACTGAAAAGGCCTAGACATACAAGTAAATAATATAACTTTTAAAGGAGAACCAAGAATAAGGGAAAAGCACAGACGGTCAGCTGAGCAGACGTTTACCCAACTTCTCCACCTAACACTGGCATGCCTCTTTCACGTTTCACAGTCTCTTCACATGATTATCGTAATAACAAAGCAAATGCAAACAATCGCTCCGGGACCATCGGAAAAATAGAGGAAAGAAAGATTTGATTTGCTTTATTTCCTTCGCTGACCAAAAAATTTTTGCCCTTTATTGGTTTCGTTTTGTGATCACATCTCCATTTTGACTGTTCACACAGATTTCACCTTATATTTAGTTGTCGATGGAATGCTTCTCCTTCTTCCATGTGAGTTCGTGCATGCGTCTGCGTATTTTTCTTTATATATTGGCGGTGATTAATTGTCCGTTTTGGTATTTTGTTTTTCATTTTTTGTTTGTGTCAAACAAGTCACAGTCTTCTATTTGTTATATTTGTATAACTGATGAAATCTTTATTTTTATTTTTATTTAATTTACCGACTTATTTGTTTCAGTATGAGCTTAAAGTTCTGCACTCTTCTCATACTGATGAATAAGTGAAAAAAAAATGTGGCTGAAAAAAAACTACCAAAACACATATTAGTAAAACTGAAATGCGGAACATCAAAACATAAAAAAGTCTGAGGAATCTTAAAAGTTGAAAACAAAATAATAAAAAAATGAGAAAATAATAAGAACAAGAAAATAACTTTCTTTTCGTTTTCATTTTTAAAATTTTCAGAGAAGTTTTGCTTTTTTGTACTTATAACGATACTTAGTGACACAGAAAAAAAGGTTTTTCCTTTTTATATTTCAACAGTTTTTTTTAATAGTGAGTTTGGTCAGTATTCTTGGAATTAGCAGCTGAAACCAGTCTTTTTAATTGGCATCACTGAAAAGAAAAAAGAAAAAAGAAAACAAGAAATGGTAGGTAATTTTTGTTTAATATATGACGAAAGAATTGTAGAAACTGATTATGTTAGGCGACAGGTTTACGCTATGTAAGGTTCGCTTTCATCGGTTAGTATTTTTACACCACGCCAGAGACAAAGTTACCGGAAAACTGCTATAAAGTTCAATTCATTGGTACATGGGTTGATTCTTATTGGACTTCTGTATTCAGATTATAGAAATTCGGAGGAAAAACAATAAATTAAGAGTGTTCTGGTGTCTGTGAAACGGGATATCAGCTATGCATCTTTTCCTGAATAAAATGTCACCTTAGAGCAGGACAGTATTGATTTGAACTTTTAGCAAATCAGGACATTCTGCGAGGCTTCTGTTCATGACTTCTTAATGTCGTATAAATTGAGCAGGTAAAAGTTAAATGAGCATCTAGAGACCCGTAGCTTTATCCCAACCGTATAAAGTACGTCCAGTAGGGTTTCGACCTGTTGAGA